ATCCAATACATTTGAGTCTTGGACACTTGTTTCTTTTGAAACACAAGTTGAAGAACTTTCATTAAAGCGTTCCACAACCTCTTGATTGTTTGAAACTGAGTCCCTAATAAAAACCTCTGCTTTAATATTATCTTTATTTTTAATTTCTTCCAAAACTGATACGTTTATTTCCTCTCTGCTCTCTACATTTGCTTTCTCTGTATCAATTGTTTCAACACAAATTATCCTTATATTTTCATCTAAACCCAATACACTTGCATCTTCAGACTTGCTTGTCGAAGCACATTCATCACGGGGTGTTGTGTAAAACGGTGTTTCGGGTACTGATTCCCTAATATTAACACTTGTTTCAGTGCAACTTTTGTTTATAGATTTCTCCAGTTCAGTTGCGTTGTCCTTATTTTGTGTAGAAGATGGTTTTTGGTTTAAAACCGCGCCACTTCTTTCATTACTATTTTTCTCTGAAACCATTAAATCTGCGTCGTCGCGAGTAGGTGTTTCGCCCATGTTTATTGCGCTATTCGGTTTCATACTTTCATCTGCTACTTGAGATCTATGATCATACGGTGGTGCTGGATCTTCCACTGTCGATATAACCGTGGACAGTACTGACAGTTCTTCTAAAGCATGTTCTGCGATTATTTCTACGCTGTTACCTTGCATACTATTTTCGGTGGAATATGTAGTATCTAAAATCTTAGTTTCGGCTTTCTCTTGTATTTTTTCATCCTCCAATTTTTCCTCTTGCATTACAACTTCAACGGTTGAATTGTCATTTAATGCATCTTCATGGCGTAAATGGTCTTCATTATTTATGCTTATCGGTGTTAGCGATTCTTCAATAGATTGCTGCTGTAGCGCGATTGCTTTGCTTGAACTCAAGTTTGCAGGTTTTGACCTTTTGATGGTTAGAATTGGTTTTACGAAAACTGTCTCAAAAGTAAGCGTTTCGCTTTTCACATTTTGCGCTGTTGTCACCGTTTCACAGACACTATTTTTCATCACATTCTTACGTTTTTCGATTTTCATACGTTTTGACGAACATTCTTCAGTAAAACTAGTGGAACCAACTGAAATCGTTTCAATATTGCCAAGAAGTTGATTTTGTGATTTCGTCGCAATATCTGGCGGTTTAGTGTGCGAATTTTGTGCCAGTTCTAAAGCACAATGCTTTCTTTTTTCTTTCATTTTGGAATATATTTCTTCACTATGAATTATCGTTTCTTTTGCTGGTTTTGTTTCAATAACTTTTTCGTCTACCATATTTTCATATTTTCTACGTTTCATTAGCGTATTCTCTGTCTCCGTAGCTTGCACTTTGGGTTTCGATTTTCTTCCACGTGCAAATGGTTTTAACGGTTCAATAATTGCATTCTCCGTGACCATTTGTAGACTTGAATTGAGTGCCGCGGCAAGTCTTCTTGTTATCGGACGGTGTGCCACATCACCGAACGCCGATTTCAAATTTACCTCGTTTTGTTCTGCATTTATTGGTAGCTGCTTTGTTTCGACTTTTGTTGGTACTTTTGCTCTTGCTAAGCGTATTTTTATACAGCGCTTTGTTAGTGTACTGTTGACAGGCTTTCTGGTGTCCATGCATTCAGCACTGCTTGCGGGTGGTGAAGCGCGTAGACTTGTATTTTTGATCACTTTCCATTGCTCAGGCTTGCGCAAGCTGTATCCTTTTCTCAATTCAACCTCACGCACGCCAACATTGGAGCGCTCAATATCTGAAGACGCAGAGAGTGATGGGCTATGTTGTGTCAGTGATGCGTTACTGACTTTTTTCGTTATTACTACATCCGCATTGTTTTTCGACACATTTTTTACTGTATTGTGACGGTTATGTGGGCTAAGTTTTGTCTCAGTTACGACAGATTTTGCATTTGCGTCAATTGACGAAATCTTAGTTGTCGTATTAGACTTTTGAGTTCGTGGCGATCTACGCTGACCTTTTACTTCACATTTGGTTCCTTGCATATCTTTTAGTGTACTTATAAAGCTTTCAAAATGTGAATAAAATGTCGAACCAGTTTTGGGCGGCTTAGATGTAACCGTAGCAATATTTTTTTCTATTTTAGAAGCGTTGTCGAAATTTTCGGATTTTTTTGTGGCTGCTGAATTTTTGCAGGTATCTTCTTGTTTAAAGTTACATGTTGTTGTGGGCTTGGCTGCATCTTGAATACTTTGGAGATTGTCACTTAAATCAATTATTTGCATATTGTCATCGTTAGGTTGCGACACTTGTATATTATCAATAATAACAGCAGTGGACTTAAGTTGTTTGTGACAAGCTAGCTGGCGTTCTACTGCATGAGATTTTACAATGTTTACTTGCATATGCGCGAACTCGATAGTTGATGTCTCGGATTCAGTTATTTTAGTTTTATCACGATATGATGCAGTATTTGCGCTAACAGTTCCACTAGCAGCATTAATAATATTGGTCTGAGTTTTGGATATTTCACCCGTTTTGTTTTTAACATTTTCTACAGCCACAGCTTCATAAGACAGCTCTTTGGCTTTTGTTTTAATATGCGTCATATTACAAGTTTCTTGATCAGCGACATGCTCGCCATATTTTTGAACTGCCGCTTCGGCAAGACGCTCCAAATTAGTTTTGGGACTTTTATCACCACTAAAATAAATGCTATTTGACTCAGTTGCTTTCGCTTTTACTAATATGTCAGTATCAGTAGTTTTCCTTAAGTTATTTTCAAGTATGTCAATCGCTTTTTCAGTAACATTTTCAAGTATTTTTGCGTTGACAAGTGTTTCTGATAATGCAGTTAAATTCGAATATGAATGTAGGCGTTTTTTGACATCACCTGCTGTTTCATTTCCGTCAGGCGTTTCGGACGTTTCTGATTCATTACGACCTTTTTCAGCAGGCACTATATATTCAGCTATTTGTGTAGTGTAGGTCAGCGCTTCAACCGATTTGACAGCTGCTACTAAGCAGGCGAGGCCATCGTTGCTTGCAAGTGTGGTGTTAAATATTTTCGTTGGCACTTCCAGTGACTCAGCTTGATGCATGCATACTTTTGCATCAGCATTATTTGGACTGTTTTCTAAGCATTCGCTATGTTTAATGTGATTACTAGTAAGTTTTTCTTTACCTAACTTGTTTTTACTCATATTTTCTAAATCATGTTTAAAGTTGATATTTTGTGTAGCTTCAGTAGTATTTACTTGTAATTCAGTTTCCTTTTCATTTAAACCGGCAGTGCACTTTTCAACTGCAGCACTTACAGTACAGTTAGCTTTTGAAACGCTAGCAGTTTCTATATTGTTTTCGTTGACATTAGCTGCAGTTGCTGTCTCTCGGCTTGTTGACTTGTCTATATTTATATTGCTTGTATTTATCTGCGATATTTCATTTGCCAATTCCATATCCTTTACATCACATGTGTTAGTTGCATCGTGCGCCGCATTTACTTCATTTTCAGCCGGTGTAGGTGTGTTCTTTTCCTGCACATCAAGTTCTTCAATATTTGTTATGAACTTTTCCACCATTTTATTATCACTTTGTTGACTTAAAGTATTCTCAGTTATAAATACATTTGAATCCGTTGTATTACGTTTGGTCTCAAACCGCATTGGCTCTTCAATAACTTGTTCCGCTGTAAGTAGTACCTGACACACTTCAGTTCTTTTCGGTATTTCTGTAGTTGGAACAACATTTTCAGTGATTTCCGTCATTGGCATTTTTAATTTAACTGCTGCTATTTGGCCACATGCTTGAGTTTCTGGCAAACTCGCATCTAAATTTTCTTTAGTGACTACTAAAGTGTCTCTAAGCTCTTTCTCTGTTTGGTTTTTACAGCTCTCTTTGATTTCAGTATATGTTGCCGGTGTTACAGATTGAGTGCAAACCACGTTTATGTTTTCCGAGCTGCTTGAATTCTTTTCTGCAACATCAAAATTGTTTTCCAAAACGTTAACGTTAACAATATCGCTTTGCAATTTTTCTGAAACAACTGTTTCTTCTTTATTTAATTCCTTGTGTTCGGAATTCGCTGTTACCATCGCATTTTCAACTACCACTTTATTAGCGCATTGACTATCAAGACATTGCGGCAATACGCTGGAATGTACATCACAATTGTATTTGTCATCTAAATCACTTTTGTCCTCACAAATCAGCGTTCTAGATATATTCTCGTTGTTCATGTCATTTACATTTATTATAGGCTTATACAATTCTGCCTGTACATCCATTCGCTTATCGGCAATTGTTTCACTTTTGGCCATATTTTCGTTGCCAATACTATTAGCCGCCAATTGCACACTTTCCACAACTTCCACCGCTTCAGTGTTCGAACTAGATTGTTCAAAATTCTGTACACTACACTCGGTACTCTGCACAAATGCCTCTGTACTTGTACTCGTGCAAATATCACTACCTGTCATTGGCTCCAAGAAATGTGCCCTGTCACCTTGCTCTTTACTTGTGCTCTCTACATTAGCATCTGTTTGTTTAATAACTAAACCTATGCTATTTTCAGCTACGGTGCTATAATCTACATTAGGCCCTGTCGTTGTCGAAACATTCGAATTCTGCTCTTCCCTTACATACTGTTTTTCCGGCTCTAAAACTCCTACATTACTACATAAAATACTAGCAATATTATCATGACCCTCATCACCAGAAATGTGCATAATGTCAACATTTTTATTGCGTATATTATTGGTTGATGAAATATCTTTTGGCCCAAGTGCCTTTATAGTGCTATTTGAAACATCACACGCTTGCATTTTACACAATCGATTTTTGCAAATGTTGCTATTACAAATTGATAAATGTTCATTTGTTATATCTTTTTTATAGGTGTCTTTACTTTGAATTGGTTGAGTAGAAAATAAATTCGTTTTTTTAGTTGCACTAGTATTAATATCAATAATATCATCATCATCATCAGAATCAATTATTATTGTGGATGAACTTTTAGATATTTTCGTATATTTATTTGTTTTAATTATGTCAACGAAATTCCTACCTTTTTGTGCCATTTGCTTAAGTGAGTCGTTTGTTGAAGAAGTTGAAGATGACGGTGATGAGAAACGTGGTTGTGGTGAATTGGAGAAAATAGGTTGTTGATTGCTGGGTTGGATTTTATTGAGATGTATAGCTGGTTTTATCGGCAATATGGCATGAGGACGACGCGTTGGTCCGATGGGGTTATCATTGAATTTCACTTGTTTTTTCACTGGTTTGTCTTCGCGAAGTATGAGCTGAAAGAAAATTTAAAAAAAAAAAAAAAAATGTATATTATTTACATGCACACAGCTCTTACAGATTTATATGCCTATACTTACCATTTCTTTTTTGTTATCTGCCTTAAATCGCTCATTATCTGAATTTTTCTCTTGATACTCCGTTAAAAAGTGTTGACTAGGCCGCAGTAGCGCTTGCGAATATATAACTTTACCAAGTGTTGTTGTTGATGACGATGCTGTGGATGGCAAGGACTGGTACTCATCATCATCTTCCTCATCATCGGTATTAACTTCTTTGCCAAAATAGCCACCAGCGCTACGGCCAACTGCAGCACGATCATTAGCAACCGCATTATCAGCGCGTCTATAATGATTTTTCGTTGCCTTAAAATTTAAACTCATTTCACGTTCTTCACCACCTGCATCGTGAAATTCTATATATTCATTCCCAAAACGTTCTGGTCCAATATCTAGGCTAAATCTAGGTGAATTCAACAAATGCATATTTTGTTTACCCCTAACGGTAAAAGAGTTAACAATTAGTGGTATTGTGGGTTCCGCAGTTGAGACAGCAGCAATTGTCGACTTTTTCGTACCGACTGCTGCGCTGTCACCTTCACCATCACAATCTCTTGTTCTTTCGTAAGGTTCTGATACTGAGGCAGCGCTTGCTGTTGAACGCTTGTCATTTATAACGTTTATCTGATTTTTAGATCTAGGCGCGAGATAAGTTCTAAGACCGTTAATAGTAATTCCATTGCCTGATAGCGCCTCATCTTCAGATAGATCTTTATCATCTGTTGTACTACCGTCGAGACTTGTGTAATCGGTATCGACAGCATCACAATCTTGATATGATTCTGATGGATCTAGTATACTACCAGAAAACAATTCTCCATCTGAATCAGAGTCTAAGCAAATAATCTTTTCCGACTCATCAACTTGCACTCTCTCTGCTGCACACTCTCTCAGCTTAATAAGCCATTCTAAAGGTTTATCTGACGAATCAAAAATTGAATCTTGATCATCTTCCTGTGTCAAATCCACGCATTCTGTTGGGTCTGCTGTTGGTACGTTGCGATTTAAGCTCCTTGTCTGTTTGGATTCCCCTGTGTAGGTGGCACCAAAATCCCAAAATGGTGTGTTTATAACTTCATCCTGAAATTTGAAAAACATATCTTTATAAAGGACATCTATATTTTAATAACTAAATTATATATTATATATCTTATCGATTAATCAGTTAACGTTGTAGTCATTTACTTAAGCGAACAAGCAAAGCGTAAACACAATGATGGCGACTAACTGCTCAACATTGTTTTGGCTATGATGTTCAACTTCAGCCTCAGACCTTTTACTTAAACATCATGTATAAAATAATTGTTAAATTCTTTGCAATTTTTATACCCTGAATAGAGTATATTAAGTTTGCCACGAAGTTTGTAACACGTTGAAGGAAACGAGCGAGACTATAAAATATATACATAAATGATCAGCATGATGGACTGTGTCGATTTAGCCATATCAATCGGTCTGTCCAACTATCTGTCTGTATATATGCGAACTAGTCACTCAATGTTTGAGATATTGATCTGTCATTTTGCACACGTACTTTGCTCCACCACCAATATCGAACCACTATAGCATACTTGTATAGCTGCCACACAAACTAAACGATCTAAATTATGTTCTTATATGGAAAACTATTATATTTGACAAGATATCTTGACGAAATTTGGCATGGATTATTGTTAAAAGCAACAGTACAATTTCTGGCGAAATTTTTCAGATCAGAACACTGTATGCTATAAGCTGCCATGCAAACTGACTGATCAAAATCTTGTTCTTGTATGGAATATTTTGAATTTGGGTATTATAGTTTCGGTGCAGCCGAAGTTAACATTTTTTCAGGTTTTTTGTATTATACTTACTATAACCACCTCAATGTCATCGTCTCCATCATGCAATGTATCATCACAAATTGCTGCCTAATAAATAAATAAAATGTTATAATGCAATCAAATTACAAATAATTAGCGCTAGCTCTTACATTTCTCAAATCGTGAAAAAATTTTAGACTATTTAAGATATCTTTAACAGCATGCTTGCGTGTGTGAATCGTTGGTAAATGATTGGCATACATTGGATTTGCATGTAGCGTCTTAGTTGGACACATAAAATGCTGGGCACGGTTAATTAGTTCGACTTGTTCAAGTGGATCTCGTAGCATCTCTTTCCATATATGTAATATTATAATGTATTGCACAAATACCTTATCCGGCAATTCTTTTTGACACCATGTATTGCCGCTCGTAGTGATTTCTAGCAAAAAGGTGCTAAAATTTAAATAATCAATATCAATATTTTTGTCACTAATAATGTACAAATGTATAAATGTTTTACTTGAAAAGCGGTTCCATTATAAAACGTGCTGAATACGTATCGGGCATGTGAAGGAACATGCGCAGTATATTTTCTTTGGCCAAAGACTAAAATTTATGTAAAAAAAAAAACAAATTTTTAATAAATATAATATAGCATAAGTTTACTGAAATTAAATTTGATTAAAATCAAAGAACTTACCTCATTCTTTACCATTAAATGTTTATGTATGATGTGATGTATGCGGTGAATTAACGCACATTTCTGTAGTCTTGTCAAATTAAAGGACAATCTTATTTCAAGGGAGGTATATACGGCGATTAGTTGGCTAATATGGTACAAATAGGCATGATCCTACAAATTTCATGTAAAAAGTAAGTTATATATTTATCTATATATATTTTAGTTGTTAATTTACTTCATGACTAGATGAACAAATTTCATGGAACAGATCAAGAAGCCGTATAATATTTCTCTTTAGCCTACGACAGAGCACAAGTGAGGGTCCCACTCTTTCGAATTCATCTTTACAACCACTGAAAGTAAGTGTTACAATGCATAATTATAAATATCTACAAAGAATTTTCAACGATTATATTACCTAGTATAGATCTGAATTAGCTCCAACATTTTTTTCTTTAGCAAAGCATTATCTTTAACATCCGTAAGCGGTGCATGCAATAAAGCTTTACGAATTTGATTATGTGCTTTCCGTATATGCGGAAATAGCGCATCTAGGTATTCTTCAGGTTCTTTGGGTGGTCGTCTCATATGTCGTAAGCATTCCGTTCGTCGTCCACTCGTACCTCTTGCAACTCGAAGTGTCGATGCACTAGTAATGCTGGACGGGGTGGGCGAACCCGCATGCATTTCCGACACTGATGTAAGATCTTCAACGGAACCTGCTGGTGAATATTCTCTTGTTGCTGCATCCAAATTTTCGGGTGACAGGGTAAGTGGTTTGTCATACAAACCCTGGATTTGTGGACCAGCCACATTATCATTTTGAAGATTTTTGCTTCTCTGTTCTAGTACCTTTTCATTTTGAGACGATTTTCTTGATATAGGACTAACATATTTTACTGACATTACTGGTTTATTAGATTGCATAAAGGATTGGGTTTTAATATTTGCATTTGTATTTTTATATGGCAATTCATCACTATCAATAGATACAGTTAACTCCTCCGCGTTAGTTGTTTCTTTAGCTGCAGCCGTTGTCGTTGCTACTGATGTTGGCAATACAGATCTAAAATCTGAGTGTTTTGTCGAATGTGGTTGCTTGTTTGGTGATTCATTTTTCTGTGAAAATGAGCTTGTCGATGGTCCATCACATAATTGTACAATAGACAGCAAATGTTCGATATCGCTTTGTTCTGTGCCCAAAGACTTTGGACCAGCATTTACCTTTCGACTATTTTCGGCGCTATCATCGTCATCGTGGACAACATATGTTGCAACCACCAATGTATCTGCTTCCGCTGAAACATTTTCAGATAAATTATTTCTTTTGATATATTGTGAGGCGGCATTTTCGGTGTTTCCTTCGACGGATGTGTCCTCAGATTTTTTAGTTTTTGAGGTCTCTTTATCCCACATGATGCTATAAATGCGGCGTCTGAAAAACATATTGATTAATTTAGAACTTTGCTTAAAAGATACAAGCAAATTTAGAAGACTAGAAATTTTATGTTTCGACTTTTTTCTTTACGTTTTCTTTTTTGTAAACAATCATAAATTTTTAAAATTGTGTTGCAAGCAATCTTTTCAAAATAAGATATAACGTATCTGAAATAATACTGTTTTAAAGTAAGATATTTAATACATTTATTTCATTAAGTGTAAATCTTCAGCAAAAATTATTTTTTAAATGCAAATTAAATTTCGACAACCGATTGTGAACATGAATTTATTTAAAAGAGAATGTAAATCTTTCAATAAAGCTAAATCCCATGAGATTCAAGTATATTTAAAATTGATAATATATATGATAACGTATCCAAATTTTAAATACTGTTATTTATGTTAATTGAGTTTAGATGCGTTTTCGTCTATGTTAAATTGTACTCAAATGCTAAGCTTACCAGTTGGAAACTTACTAAATGAATAAACCTGTCCGCTCGCTTTTCCACAAAATTTTAAGCATCTACATACATTTCTAGTTATTGTTGGTTTTGTTGTTGTTACTCTTTTTGTAAATGTTTTTGTTTGATCCTCTTTCTACTGTAATCGTTAAGAGAGCCACACTCTCGCGTAGATATTGTTGCATAAATTATATTAGCATTTATTTTTAGAGTTTCAAACAATTCCATTATTTGGAGAAAGCTCACATTTCAATTTTTGTGTTCTTATATACAACCTTCTAATACTTATTTATTTGTGAATTACATTTATACACATTTTTCACTCCATTCAACGCAGTATTCAAAATTGCGCTTTCTAAAATCGTTCCACCACTACTTGCCACCCGGCCTACTCGCCTCACCCCTTAATACATTTAATAGGAGTGCTGATGGCAAGAAATTAAACATGGCGTCAAAGATTAGTGCTTCACTGCCCCATTCAACGCAAAAGCTATAGCGCGTTTTTCTCACAAATTTTTGAATATATTTGTTAAATATATTAGTAATCACGTATTTGCGTTATTGAACTGCACTTTACAATTAAATTTATAACTTTTTCCTGAAATATCACTGAAAAATCTAAATGTTTGGCGCATATACACGGTGTTTTACTTTTTCTTACAGCAGTGAAAATTTACATATATACATGAAGTTGGCTGCAATACGAAAACTAATGTCAATTCGGTTTCCATTATTCCTCTAATTCGTCGACAGTGCTGTATTAAAAAATATATTATATTAACACTCAATAGAGGACTTTATACACTTTTAAATATGATTACATTATCAAACAATTGATATATAAAAAAACCCGATAGAAATTAAACAGAAAGTTATATTTATTCAAATAAAATAATCATAAAAAGTTAAATTCCATTAATAATTTTATCGATAATCGAAATTTCGATAAAACTTTGATAAAAATTTCTTTAACCTACAATAAGAAAAAAACGAGAGAAAAAATAATAAAAGGAGGAAAATAAATTTATACACATATTTAAAAAATCTATAACGTTTGCTATTAAACGTCGTATTTAATTGAAAAAAACGAATATGAAATTGTTATATATACACTCAATCTGTGCTGATAGACTTGGAATTGGGCTGTGTAATCTGCTCGACAATTGATTTAAATATTTTCGCTGTATTGGAATCCGGTAATTCCGTAATCACTGATCGTGTCGTACCCACTAATACATTTATTCGTGGATCTATTGGTAATGTTCCTAGATGTGGAACACCAGCTCGTTTTGCCAACTCAACGCCCCCATTAGAGGAAAATATATTTGTGCAGTTGCTGCATTTCGGGCATACAAATCTAGAATATAATGAGTCGTAACATATTGTAAAATTTTTTTAATTGTATCAACATACCCACTCATATTTTCCACAATACCTAACACTTTGACACCGGTTTTTCGACAAAAGGTCAGTTCCTTTCGTACATCATCTAAAGCAACGCCCTGTGGAGTGGTAACCATAATAGCGCCATCACATTTTACATCACGCATACATTCCATTACTGTTATGTGTTCATCTGAAGTTCCTGGCGGTGTATCAATAATCAAGTAATCCAACTCGTCCCATTTTACGTCAGTTAAAAACTGTCGTATCATCATTGTTTTCTTAGGACCCCTCCAAATTACGGGATCATTGCGGTTCTTCAATAAAAAACCAATTGACATGACAGCGAGAGTTTTATCTTCCCCCGTGTAAATAGGTACCCAACCTTCATCACATTGGTATACATCGCTTTGTTCTAAACCAAGCAAGAAAGGAACACTTGGACCACATAAATCTATATCCAGTAAGCCCACCTATGAAATAATATAATTGAAATAAATAAATTAAATTAATTGTCTAAAGCACCTTCAAACCGCTTTCCCGTAATGCTATTGCCAGTTGTGTGCTAACAGTAGATTTACCCACACCTCCCTTTCCGGACAAAACTAATATAACATGTTTTACTTTCTCCAACATTATTTTTAAAATTTTAAACAGAGAACGTAGAATCAACACGAGATAATGAATTTCGCCATAATAGAAGTTTATTTAAGAATCTAGCTGTCAAAAATAAGTTCAATGGTGTGAATCAGCTGTTTATAAACAAGATACCTGCCTTCGTCGAGACAACTACAAAAAAATTACAACAAAAATTTATATTTAATAAATAATATTTAATCAGTGCTTTCCGTAAATTTTAGCTATATATTAATTGAATCGAGTTTTAAATAAAATGTTATATTTTACTAACTTTTGAGATGTAGAAATTATGGGTATATTACTTACATATGTCAATAAGGTTTATTTACGTATAAAGTGAAGGAGAAAAGTAAGATGAAAATACAAAATAAAATGTATGGCGAATTTTAAAACCATCTGCCGCGTTATAAAGTAAGAAAAAAAATATATATAACATTAAATCAAAATGGGAAAGCTAACTTCACAGTTAAAATCAGCATACTCAAAACAGCAAATGCAGTATGTTTGCATAAACTGTGGTCATCCTATAGCCGAATTGTATCGAAAGTATAGTAATACTGCAATCAAAACAAATCAATGCGTACGTCCACATTAAATACCAACCAAAATATCATTTATCATTTTACTGAGTAATTTTATTTAACATTAGGAAAATTGTCACAAAGTGGCGGACAAATATATTGAATTTGATCCGATAATAATTCTGGTGGATGCGATGCTATTGTCCCAAGAGTCTTATAAGCATATGCTACATAACCGAGATTTTAAGGTAATATGGTGAATACTTAAGTAAATATTTATTGAACCAATATTCCACTTGTAACCATTAGCTGAACTGGAAATTATCACTTGTGCTGCTGCTTCTAGAGTCTTTCGCATTATGGAGACAGAAAGGAAGCATTAAACAGGATTCTTTGCAAAATGAAATTATCAGCGAAAAGGGCTTTTATATATGCTGCTTGCAAAATATTATTGGTAAATGAATGAAAAACAATATGTTTATTTCTAGAATATGCACATTAAAAAACGTATTTTTCGCTTCTATTTAGATTATTGCATTACTACTTTGATTCTGTTTGCTGTGACGTGTGTACACAATCCGCGGCTGGTTGAAAGCACGGGTTATAACAAATTTGCTTTAATTTTATTAAAGGCTTTAACAATAGCAAATTTTTCTAAAATTTTCCTCCTACCGCTGATAGTGTGGCGTGAGAATACTACAGATTTGGGTGCAAACATTCACCAAATACTTGTCAAAGGACATCACCTACTTTCTTTGGTTTATATTTATGCAATAGTTGGAAATGTTCAAAAGCTGCAATCTTTTTTCATTATATTGCCCGTGTATTTAGCAAAGGAGTATATTAAGCGCCATATATCTACTTATTTAGAATTTTATTTATGAGTAACCTAAGAAATAAATGTTTAATTAATATATGTCACGCAAATTCCAAAACAAAAAAAAAAAATAATGCAGCGAGTATTAAATTTTTCGTATGTCCTGTACTTTATTTAGGTTTTTGTTATCGATGCCTTGTTTTACCATTATATGCTACACATTATATGTACCTATCAAAAATTTTGATATACATATACATATTAAAGATTTATTTACATAAATATGAATACATTGTAAGTTACCTTATTAAATTTTTATCAAAACCTAAATCGAACGGTTTTAAGTAAAGAAACATTACATGCATTACATGTACGTATGTATGTACGTAAATTACTAATTTAAGGATCTTACCAGATATTTCCAAAGATTTATGCTATAACTTCACCAGTTTTTCTTCAAAATGGTCCCAAAAAATTAAAAATTGCAATTTCGAAAAATCGCCTAGCGTTACCTGCTCAAAGCGATTATATAATGATATAATTTTAAATTTTCGATTTCAAATGATCCAGCACCGAGTTATGAGGGGCCGCGCAATTCATCTTTTTCCGAGACGCTTCAAAGTAATTGCTGCCATTCCGTGTTTTTTAATATTTCTCTCAAAGTAGGTGCATCGATTTAAGAAAGTGCGAAACATCTGTATTCAAAATAGAATACATAGAAATTTTCGTAAATCATGTAGAAAAATATTTATAGTAGTCATCTTCGAATTTTACGCTATAAAAGGAAAATTTCAACCAAAATTATTTGCTTACCCAGACACAGCGAAAAAAGGATTGCTATACATTATATATGTCTTATATAAACGTAATTTATTATCATTCGCTTAAATACCGTAATTAAAAATGTTCTTTATATATTGTGTACATAAACAGAAAAGTTTGTGTCTGTATATAGTGTACATACATACGTTAAATCGTTTATTTATTTTCATATTTTAATGCACTGCATGTATATTATTATTATATGTAGGTTTGTATGTCAATTTTGATTTATCACTATGCATATAATATTTAATTTTTTTTGCTTGTGTGCATGAAATATGTGTTATTAATTTGTTACATTCTTGACCCGTTGTTAGTCTATGCTGCTCAAAATCTGTTTTTTTTTTAATTTGTTATACATTTTGTAGGCTGACCTTTCGTACTTATATTGTTTTGCATTTCTCCGCCAACCAACCCCCCCTTTTCTATTATATATTTTACTTCGGTATATATGTATATATATACTATCGTATATATAATCACTTAAGAACAGTTCTAATTTAATATATGATTTTTAAATAACTAAGAAGGGAAAGTAGCACAGTTGGATAGTGTGGCGCACATAAATTGATGATATACTTCATTGATTTAAGTTATTAAGTTAATTAAAAGGGCGCATTGATAGTTTCTTATTCTGTATATTAAAAGCTAGCTTAAGCGCTATGATGCTATTATCGCTAAACAAAACATATAAATTGTCAAGTAAAAATTATTTTTTTTATTTATTTACTTATTGTGTATACTATTTGCTTGTGTGTAAAAAATATTCAATCAAAAAACGCATACATATAAAAAAATTAAAAAACCTCAACATATTAAAAAAGACTGCTAAACGCGTATGACAGTTAAGCTTTATAACAGTTCTGTAATATTTAAAGCAACTGTTTTAACAGCGACAGTTTGGGTCGTTACTGTGCTAAATTATAGGTTAGTTGTTAGTTGATCGAGTTTTTCAAGTTGTTAACATTGAGCATAATACTCAAAACATGTTACATTATAATGTTTAAAAAATTAGATTATTTAAATTGGTTGTTTTAAATATATCAAATTATGCACGCCACTGCAAATCTCCTTGCTAACCCGTTGCAATACTAATTTTCGTTTAATTACTATTAACGCTTATTACATATATTAATTATAAACCAGTTTAATTGCTATATTTAATTTTTTCTTAGTTTTGTATTTATTCGTTAATTTTTCGCTTCAATTGGATGAATTTTAGTTCTCTTTGCATTCAGGCTTATATATTTTCATAATTATTTATTTGTTGTAACAAATTCTCTGATACAATTTTTTTTTTGCTATTTAATGCATATGTTTATTACTTGTATGCATTTTATTTGTGGCCTTTACCTTTAGTTAGTTAATATTTGAAAAGAAAAAAATGGGCACATCGGGCTGTTTCGGTTCTGCCTGTCTTAAAATCTAATGGCGAAATCATTTCTCAGACATTTTTTCAACAACTCGATTAATCTAACCATTAAATGTAGCGATATATAGCCGAGCATTGTTTTCGAAATCAATTTCGAAAAGTGCAGCAAGCTCTTTACGCACCTTCAGTTTTTTAGTTTTTCAATAAATTTCATATAAATATTTTATTTTCTTAAATAGTTTTATTTTTAAATGATAATTGCTGCTTGCCTGTTAATTTCCAATTAGTTTTTGTTTGGTTTTGTTTTGTCCATTAACCTTCTTTATAGATTGTTGTTATTACTATTGTATTGCTATTTTAGTTGTTTTATCTAAGTGGCTATAGCGATAATAGTGTGCTTTTTCTATTGATTACCGCTTTTATGGTGTGTATATGCGTAAGTGTGCTAAATTACGATGTCATATTCCATGACGATGATGATGAACAAGATGAACAGTCATCACTTTCGGGTGTGGCGTTGGCACTGTGCGATTTCGGGCCCCAAATACGTACGGTTGCATCGTCACTAGCTGATGCCAAGAGGGACGGAAACATAGGATTCCAGGAAACACAATTCACTGTTTTTGTATGACCCGCCAGTTTGCCCAATGGCTCTTCGCGCTTTATATGCCAAATACAAACCAGTTTATCTTCGCTTCCACTCGCCACGAAACTTTCATTTACCCCACCGAAGCATGAATGTATGGCGAATTTGCTTTGACGAATGCCCTGAAACCGACGTACTAAACACTTGTCCTCCAAATCCCATAAATGAAGTCCTTGGCTGGAAATGTTGAGCAAGGCCAGACGATCGGCAGAATTTACGGTAAATGTCATTATCGGATGTGGTTCTTTGAGAATATCGAAATCCGTGCCGGGATCTTCGAAATTGTAGCTGAAAATTAACGAAACGGCGAAAATATAATAAAATAAGGAAAACGTCAACTTCGGCTGCACCGAAGCTATAATACCCTTCACAGGTGCATTTTTTATAGCATTTAAGGGTATAAAATTTTAAACCTGATTTTGATCTGTCAGTTTGTATGACAGCTATATGCTATAGATTTAAGCAATTTCTTGGGAGATTCTACCGTTGCTTGTATAATACTGCATACCAAATTTCTTGAAAATATTTCGTCAAATAAAAACGTTTTCCATACAATTAAATATATTTGATCGTTATATTTGTATAGCAGTTGTAAGCTAAAGCAGCATTTTTCGGAAAAAAGGACGTGAGAAATATTTCACATCGATATCTCAAAAACTAATATATATACAGACGCGTATATACAGACGGACATGGCTAATTCGACTCAGCTCATCATGCTAATCATTTATATATATATATTTTAGAGCGTCTTCGACGTTTCCTTCTGGGTGTTACAAACTTCGTGGCAAACTTAAAAAAGCCTGTACAGGAAATGAACATTTAAAAACTTACCCTCTGATACGATAGTGATTATCTGATGCTATGATAGTCTTATTATCAGCGCGGTAGGCAACGCTATTGATTCGTACACCTTCCCAAGTATTAAGAATTGATCCACTCAAATCGCACAAGTAGAACTGCCCCTTTTGACCGCCACAAACGAAGCGACTACCATCACGACTGAAAGCACCACATGATAGACTGTCATCCACTGATTGCGACATTTTTAGTATGAGTTTGCCATCGTCTACATTCCATATGCTTATTTCGGGTGTATCATCAGGTCCACCCACCAATAATAATTTCGAATCTGGACTCCAGCTAACAAAAGCCACACTTATATTGGATTGTGCCTCCAATATGCGACGATGCTTTAGTGACAATTTATATGGGTCCACATCCCAAATAATAACGCTGGAGTCTTTGCTGCCTGTGGCGAGTTTAAGGCCGTCTGGGGAGAATTTACAATACCAAACCTCATCACAATGATCGGTGAGCACTTGTATAGTTTGCATAGGAAAGCCATCTGTGTCACAGGTGTGATCACTAAGTAATGAGATATTTTGTAAATTTGTTTTAAACGCCATGTCATGAAAATCGCAATGTTCCGATTGCAATTCAACAGCCTGTTGGAGTAAGTGACGTAAACGGCGTGGTGGCATCATTACTGTTGGTGGTAGGAATGCCTGTAAACGATCCATAACCACAGCACGTGACAATATGCCTTTGCCCTCCCATTTGGCGCGTTGGTAGAGATCATGATTATTCGAACACATCATATATGAGGAAAGTTGATGAACACGTGAAGTGTTGTGTTGTAACGGTGTAAGCTCATTACGTAACACATGTAAAGCGTCCAATGGACAGCCATCATCCAAAAATTCCAAGTACTTTTGCTCTAATAATAAAAATTTCATTTCGATGATAGTCGACGGTTTGCCATTGTCAATGAGTGGTTCCAGTTCCTATTTTTGATAGAAAAATACAATTTCATTCAAGTGTGATTGTAAGAAGTTTTAACTGATATACACATTAAATGTAATATTTAAGTACCGATTTTCGTTTACACATGAAGTAATTTCTCACATGTCTTCCCTGGATTACTTTGACGTTATGCAGAGACGGTATATATGGTCATTGGCCACATATTTTATATGTGGAGCACAACTTACATTCAATCATGGAGTACTCGTGAGTTTTATATATAATATATACTTTGTCATATGTGGGAATACACGTACATACGTAATTCTAAAAATAGTCTGTTGAAGATATATTTTAGAACTGATTCAATACAGAAATTAGTCGTTCGACAAGAAAACGTTTGTTGAGACTTTAGAATGTAGAAAAATTATACATATATGTTTGTACAAAGAGAGAAAGTAATGAGTGTTACGCTCGCTTTGCAAATATAAACAAATGCAAGTTGTAAAATATTACCAAAATAACGAAAAGCAATATTCAAACGAAATTGTTGTTTAAAATAATTATAGATTTTTTGTCAACGTCATTAAATTATAATCTTAAATTTATACCATGAACTTAACCTTACTTGAATAAAACAATAAAAAACGGTTAACTTCGATTGCACGAAGCTATAATACCCCTCACAAATAAAAAAGTTTCCATATAAGAATTTGATTTTGAGCGATAAGTTTGTATGACCGCTATATCCTTTAGTGATCCGATCTGAACAATTTCTCCGGAGATTTTACCGTTGTCTTGGACAATACTAAAAACCGAATTTCGATACCTCGTCAGATATAAAAGTTTTACATGCAAGGAGTGAATTTGGACCGTTCAGTTTGTAAGGCAGCTATAGTAGTCTGATATCGGCAGTTCCGGCAAATGAGCAGCTTTTGGGGAAGAAAAGTACGTGAGAAATATTTCACATCGATATCTCAAAAACTTATATATATACAGAACGACATGACTAAATCGACTCAGCTCATCATTCTGATCATTTATATATGTATATACTTTATAGGGTCCAAGATGGCAAACTTAATATAGCCTGTTCGAGGTATAAAAATGAAATGTTGAAGTCAACGTAATTATCATACACTTAGTGTAAAAATTTAAGAATAAACTGGCAATCCAATCTGAGAACGTTTTGTGATGAAAATAATTGTTTAAAACTTCACATCATGGGTTTTATATGAGCTGTTTTCGTTTGGCGAAAGCTTGGAAAGTAGCGAAACGAACAAACAAACATGTAATTACAATAAAGTGGTATAATCAGCTAGAGGTAAAATAGTCAGCTGAGATATCTACCACTTTTTAGTTTCGAATGCAAACATAGACAACTATATTGTAACTTTCACATATAAACATTTTGTCAAGAGAGTAGAGCTCAAACATAGCGAGCACAGTGGTGGAAAATACTACATTCAAATAGTCGAGGCAGGTAGGTAGTGACGAATGAAAGAGAGCTACAAGCAACAGCATTAAAATATTCAACTCGAGCTAGTGTATTCGAAAATACAAAAGTGTAACAGTAAAAATGTCAAATTAGAAACATGTGATACCATATTGTTGTCACGCATTATGCTAACAATACCGAAGAGACAGCGTCACTATTTTATGACTACATGACGGTGTAATGGGTATTTTAGATAACAAAATATATAATTTTTTGTTTATTATAATAATAATATAAATTCGTATGCATCTCTGAAATGAATACCTTAATTCAATTAAGAACTCACGATAGTGTGGGAATTAAGAATTGAGCGCTAGAACAAAGTAAGATACAAAAAAGACAAAAAAAAAAATGTATTGGAACTAAAACGCAAAACATATACAATCGTCTACAAATCTTCTAACTCCAATTTCTAGCTAGTGTGCGGTAAAGCCTTTGCTAACTATTGTCGCTGTACTCTCTTTTCTCCAGTAACATTTTATACAACAAAGCTAAATATGGGCACATTGACCCGACATGCATGGTAATCAGCTGCTATTATGAATACTTTTACATAGAGCATGTAAAATCACCAGCGCTTCTGCAGTTTCTTTGTTTCGATAGACACATTTCTACAACGCACATAACACCCACCCCCATCCACAGTTTTTATGTGTTATGTGTATGTACCATCATACCGTAGAATATATAATAATACAGCAAGATACAATTATCAGCAAAGAAGTTCATCATGCGTAGCTAAGCTAAGCAAATGGCTAGAAAAACACAAACTGAAGTAGACAATACATATAGTGCATATGTACGTAAGTCAAGTTGTGTCAATGATGTAAAAAGATTAATTGAATCAATGCATCAACCTGAAGTTAATAACAATGAAAGCAATTTTTAAAATATTATGGATATTAAACAATTTGCGACTCATTATTAGGAAATTCATGATTGCAATCGCATGAAATATACACTTGCATACATATGTACATGTTTGCATATAAACACCTGACAAAATCAGTCTCTCCACCTAGAGCGTACGCAGTGAATCAGTTTTTGTATGGCATTGTACATTTTGTAAATGTGTGTAATTTTTTTTGTTAGCTTTTGAGTGTGGGTTCCTTTGTACATCTTCCACCCGATTTCTTTGTTTTGCTACAATTTGCTTTGGTTTACTTAAATTTTCTGTTTTTGTATTTTTTTTTAGACATAAATACATATATGCCTCATGGTTACGCTTATAAATAAAATCATAAAGCCAGCCAGTCATCGAGTAGTGAGCGCGCGCAATCGCCAAAAGCTTTTATTGAGCACACACAAATAAAACATTGGAAGAAGTAAAAGCTGAAACTCATTGGCATATTGACAGTCGCTGCTCTTCTCCAGATGTCAATCAATTTACTCTTGTTGGTAGCATTTTTCAACTTATTCACCAATTCTACGTTTGGTTTTTGTTTTGTCGCAGTTAGCTTTTTTCTGCTATTTTAGTGGAATGTAAACAATCGTATAAAAGAAGAGCGTACTTGTATATATGTAAAAAGTATCTTGGTGTATAGGTTTACGTACAATAATGTATCTTAGTACTTGAAGGGGAGCGAATAGAGGGCAATGGTTGGCGAGTGCGTTGGACGTTAGCTCTACTAATACACAAAGACTAATGGGTATGTAACTTTAAGAGACAATAGTTGTGAATATATATTTTTAAACACACAATTGCAATAAACACTTTTTAAATTTAATAATGTAGTTTGATTCAGTATTTGTTTTGGTATTCGTCATAAATAAAGTAAAAAAAAAAACGGCAAGTTAGTCAAATGATTCTAACGAAGGAAAGTAAAAATATCATAAAACAGGCAAAAAAAAAAAAAAAGCATTGCAAAAATAAAAAAAAGTTGCACAAAAGCTATAATACCCTTCACAAGTAAACAAGTTTCCAGTTAGTTTGTATGGTTGCTATATGCTATAGCGGTTCGATCTAAACTATTTGTTCGAATATTGTACCGTTGTCTTGAACAACCAGATACCTTGACAAATAAAAAAGTTTTTCATACAAGCTTCTGATCGTTTAGTTTATATGCTATAGTGGTCCACTATCAGCGGTTTCTACAAATGAGCAGCTTTTAAGGAAAAGGACATATGCAAAATTTCAGATGGATATCTAAAAAGCTGAAGAACTAGTTCGCGTTTAAACAGACGGACATAGCATCCACACGTCATGCTGATCATTTATATATATTCATATATGTATATATTATAGGGTCTCCGACTCCTCTCTGGGTGTTACCAACTTGATGACAAACTTAATATACGCTGTACAGGGTATAACGGTATTGGTGCTTGCACATTTTTGGCACAATATTCACTTACCTTTAAGTCAACGTCAGCTTTGTTCCACTCTCCAGACAAGACATGCTCTCGAAATTTTGATGCAGCTGGATGTTCTAGGTAACAACCGGATTCTGTCATTAGAGTCTTTACCGATTTCTCCAATCCTATATCCTGCAAATATTGGCCAATCAAACGTATTATCTCCTGATTAGACTTGTCCAAATGCAAATTATGATTGGCAATAGGCACGATTGATTGATCGTGATTGTTTTGTAGGTCCACAGTGCCACTCTCATTGGTACCGGTGAAACCATTGTGTTTTGTGTCGTGTCCATTTGATGTTGAAGTTGATGAATTTACAGAGCTAGGTATATTAGCTGAAGAGTCACCGACATGCCCCACCGTACTACCAGCTACATCAGTTGCCGAATTTGCTGCTGATGAATTGCCAACCGAAGGCACACCAGACCCGGTCACTGACGCGGAACCCCCAACCGAACCCGATCCAGATGAGGATGTGCTCGATAATGTAGGATTCAGTGTTGAATTTTGCATATTCGTTGTTATGCTACCACTATTACAATTATTATTATTTTCAAGTACTTCAATGTTACGGTCAACGACTGCGCCACTGACGACGCTCACAACACTATCACTGCTAATCGAAGTGTTTGTTGTTGTATTTTCTTGTAAATTCTCGCTTGTTTCGATGTTTACGCAACTATTACTTTTTGGTTCACCTCTATTTTGTTTCTCGCGATTATTTTGATTTTGATTTGATTGCTGCTGTTGTGCCGCTCGTGAAGTCGACGCTGTGTCTGCGTCAATAGACGCAATCGTACTGAGACTACTACTTCCACTTGTACCAGTTACTGCTATTGCTGCTGCTGCTGCTGCTGCGGATCCGGTCGTCGTTATCGAAGCTCCCGCTGCGGCTGCTGCCGTTGATCCTCCTGCTGAACGTCGTCCTTTTTTGCGCGGCGGCTGGTCCTCGGAAGAGGTACCAGTTGCAGCAGCCTTCTTGTTATTTCTATCAATTTTGAGTTTCTTTACTTACACGCACGTCAACAAAACACTCTCGTCGCGCTAAAACGCTCTCGTTAATTCTTAGGTCCGCAAGCTTTTGAAACAGCCGCCGTTGAGATTCTACTTATTTTTTGTTTGTGCCTCTCCGCTCAGCCGATTTAGGTGCTCTTACCTATATACATATATGAATATTTTTGTTAAGAGAACGATAGCAGCTATTTACAATCGAGTGCAACTCCAACATTCTACGTCCAAAGTACTCACCTTTGCTTTAGCAGCTGCTCAGAGCGGTATCGTCTGCTTCACAAAAAATGTACGTTTTTCTTTGATGTACATATGCTTCTTGTCATGTATTTGATAGCTTTTATTTGAGTTTGTTGTTTACCTCAGTAATGCGCCAACAAAAATTGACAATGCTGATAACAGAGAAGAAAATACAAAACTATTAGACATTAGACATTTGAGTGTTGAAATTCAATTATTAGGTAAAGTTAATTTTTAATTATATATATTTTGAATGTGAACAAAAAAATAACTTGCGAAATATTTTAAGTGTACATAATTAAGTGAAATTTAAAAAAAAAAAAAAAAGAGAGGATGGTTCCTGGTCTAAAACATATTATTATCTTAAAGTCGAAAGGCTAGAATTTTTAAACGCACTGTTTCAGTTGCTGGCTACTTATATTTTTTTTAAATAAACTTATTGCACATGACTCCACACTTTCATTTATTACAATATTACGCCTTATTTAATATATGTATGTTGTATGAAGAGATATGTGTATACATGTTTGTATGTAAATGACGAGCTATGAAGCAACGATGTAATAAATACTTATATATGTATTTTAATGAATGTGCCATATAAAGGTAAAAGGAAGTTTATGGAAATATTAAAGGCAGGTTTCATTGTATTGAATTTTAACCTACAAAGCGTATAAACATATGAATGTATGTATATAGCAAATATGACAATTACGTACGATTGATTTATCCTCGAAGCGACGATTTATTACTCGTTTCAAGTAAGTTAAATTTAATGAACACTTTAGTATTATATATTTTGTTCACTTTTCACAAATACAATGAATTTTAACACAATTTATTTATATGTATATTTCCACACCTTTTAATTGTAAAGTAATTAATCTCCTTTATAGTTTACAATTAAATTACAGGTTTACTCTTTTCAATTAATTTAATTACATCAAGAATATAGAATTTAACATCGTATTAATGAAGTTGTTGTGTTAGTATGTACTTCAAGGGTTAATAAAAATATATCATATAAAAGTACATATACATATAATTATGAGTATCCACATAAATAAATACATGCGTATTTATATTACATTCTTCATTTTCTCTTGTACGATGGCTACATATGTAAATATGTCACAATAATTGGACTATCGGGGTTATTGTTATATGTAGTTGTTTTAAATTTTTTTTCTTCCACAGCACAAAAGTGTTCAGCAGCACAGAACAGTTGCACTTTTATTTCTATGTACTTTTATACTTCCTGTTATTTACTTCTACATAACCTGCCCCTCCTCTAACACTCTTTCTATATTCAAACGTATTTGCATTCGATCACCTAAATCTCATTGCTGCTTTATTTCATACGCTTTCATCTACTTCTTTTTATTCCATATTCACCAAATGCAATGTAAGTTTTTTCATTTTTGCATATCCAACTGCTGCACATATGAAAGTGTTTTTTTCATACTCTACTTATGTTTTTCACATAAATATTTAATGATTTATTATTATTTACTTATTCTACTACCGATATTTCATATTTTTCACCACAAATAAATAAGTTAAATGTTTAAAAATTTCCAAAAACCGATGACGAAACAAAGAACTACTATTTTTTCTTCTGCTCACCACTATTCTTCTGCATACCGAACTCTTTTCGTTTGGTATGTATGTCGCCTAGGGTTGCACATTATTTTTGGAAAATGTAGTAGTAGCAGAGAATGTAGATATTTCACATTCTCTGGTAGTAGTGTAGTTTCGACAAGAAATTTTAACTGCAAATCGATAGCAATTTGTAATAACTATAAATATGAGTACAATGTTCCATTTTTAATCACTTTATAATATTATTTATAAATAAAACTAGAACGATAAATTATTTATAATATAAAAATGCGAACTATTGCATTTTTTCTGTTTCTGCTGCATTCAATAGCTACACATATGACATGCAGTTTACTGCACTTAAATTCCAGATATGCTCAAATATGTACTTTTTCTACGCTGATATAGAGCGTATATTTCGTTTATCTGTATGATACTACTTCTGGTTCGAACTAAACAAAACAGGAATGTTAGAAATAGACTATAATTCTTGCATATAAATAAATCTATTTTATGTACATATATATGTACATATATCCACATACGCACATGGACATGAGATAATGTGATAAATAAGAGAACAAAACAAAAAAGGACGATGTAATATAACTCGAATTAAATGTGATAGAGTAACAGCTGATGGCTGTCAGATTATCTTATGGTTTGTTGTTATTGTCTATCCGTTATTATTTATGTCAATCATCTGTATTTACTTGTTTTAAATTGGGTATGAATGTATGTCAAGGTAAATATTGTTGGAATTTTTATTTATTATAGCATAATCCAACGTCAACAGGTTAGCATAACCGAATATGAATTAGGCGAATGTAGCCAAATATATAACTGAATGTATTATTATATTGTATGTAATATATATGTTAAAAAAGGAAGTAGATGCGATCGCAGATACTTACATGTTTTAATTTATTAAATATTTTCACGTCACTTTTTTAATTCTTTGTATTTATTTGCTCCTCTGCTCTTCCACAAACACGAAATTAGATATTTCAATAAATTTTTTTGTTATTTTAATGTAACAAAATGACAATAGTTATAGTTAAGCGGTTAAATTTACGTACAGTTTTTTTTCAGCTATTATACATTACATACAATTATATATTTATATTATTTTATAAATGAGTTTTAACACAATGTCAGTTATTTAATGCCAACAATATCCATTTGTTGAGATATCAGTTGTTGAAGTTCTTAGTTTAATATTCCAGATTTTATTTTCTTGTATTCAGTCTCACATGCACCCATTATTAACTTTTTAGCTTATAATTTCATTATTTACTTAAGATTAATATATATGTATGCATGAATATTTTGATTTTATTTTGTTCAACGAATTACTTATTACATTACAGTTAGTACCTCATTTCAATAGTTTATAAATGTTTAATTGCTATTGCAGTTTATATTCAATACATAATATACATATATATATATACGATGTTTATGTAATATATGTACTTTTACTCTAGTGTACTATACTTATTTATAAAAAATATAAACTTTGAATGCTTCAAATGTTTCCACTGCATACATTTTACTTATAAATCCATTTCAATTTCAACTTCAACGCTGGTCTTAACAATATTTTCATGAGTTACCTACTTATGCAATGTTTAAGACCGCTATCTCCTCTAAAAATAAACAATATACTCTATTTGTATGTGTAAAATAAAAAATACATTGAAAACCTAAAATTTTTATTGCCTATCAAAATCAGTGTATATTGATGCAGATGGACAAAACAAACCATGGTGCCACTACCTACTACTTGGCGCTTTCTCAAATAAAATATTTTTTATATTCATTACTTAGAGTACTGCCTTAGCATAGTAATATGTATGTTATATAAAAACAGAGTTATCTAGTTATCGAACAAGTTAATATTAGACAGCCAACTTATTTCTCTTTTCTCTAATTTAACTTTTATGAGACGTAAGTGTAAAACACTCTCTCAAAATAAGAAAGGGTGGCAAAAAAAAAAACTAGGGTTTGCTTTTATAGGGTTAATAAAATTTTCTGAGTTGTATATCAAATTCTACCTTCACAACAAATTAAAATACTATTCAAAATTTTATATACGCTATATAAAACAAATGTGTTTGTATGTATACAATAAGGAGCCGCTATTATACGTATGTATAATAATGGGCGATACAAGTAGTTTGCCAATTTTCTAACTAAAATGTTTTATATTCAAAGTATTTTGTTCAATTTTGTTATGCATTTATTTAGTAGGCATGTACGCCTTGTTTATAGCGCAATTCCAAGGAACAGCTAATATATACCGTAACTGAACACTGTTAAGCTCATTTGCCAAATAATCAGTATTTATTTTTTAAATAAAATATTGAGTGATAAATTCTATTAAAAATATGGAAATAATTTTTGTTCAAATCATATATATATATCAATTTTTCCACGCAACTCTGTACAAACATATACATTTAAAAATGTAATAAACCGTTCTTAATACGTTTTTTTTTTGTAATTTTTATTGACTAAATTTAGAATTGCTGCTATTTATTCATGATTTACAGTAATATGTAGTTGCAACGCTAAAGTCGTTTAAGTTAATTCTACAAATGTTTAATGTACACACGTAACATACATATGTACATTGTTTTTATTGTATATGCATATGCAACACACATACATATATGTAATTACTTAATTGATTTACATTCATACATAATTATGCTTTGAATGTAAAATTAAAGATAGTTACAGTTACGTATTTAAATAACTGAAAATTTTGAAGTGTCAAAAAAAAAACTAACTCATTACTCATATAATATACGTTTGAAATTGTGTGCAACTATTGAAGTCTCTCCATTAATATTTACAGTGTTTTATGTTTGGAAATTCATCAATTTGCTGCGGTATTAACAATATATCAGTCACCTAACAGTCCTTCCGTTATATGCTTTGTTGTTATTTTACTTAGTAAATAGTATGCATATATATGAGAAATTGTTTATAAATTTTTCATTTTTGACGTACTTTTGCTCTCCAAGTTTGTGCCCTAATGAATTTTAATAAATGCACCCAAAAGGTGTTAAGAAAGAGACTTTCAAATTTGACGCATGTGCTTAAATATGTGTACGTAGATCTTTATATTCATTTATTATATTATTTTGCTCTTGTTTCTTTTTTTGTAATCGGCTTACAAAGTTTAATAATTTCTTAGTTTTATTTAAGTTATCCTTTTCGTTGCTTTAAAACTAATTATAATTTAGTTTACGCTTTAACTTGATGCCATTACTAATATAATATGATTATAATAAAAATAGTAAGTTATAATGGTTATTATAAAAAAAAAATCTAAAATGTGAATCAATTACAATTACTATAGATAAAGGATGAAGAAAGTTTCGTGTATTTGCTAAGCTTTCAACACTTCCTACTTCCGACACGTTAGATACAACAATAACAGCTGCGCTAAACATTTTACCATCGTACATTTCAAATTAATTCCAAATGACACAGTTTTCCATATTATCGTTGGTATTAGCTTTCTGCATTCACAGCGCCATCAATTGATTTTAGAAATTAATGTTGATATTGTTGTTGTTGCACCAGCTATATACACAGTTATTTTGTGTTATCTGTCACTTTGTCAGGCACCAAGCGCTGGGTCAACTCCGAATCAATGACTGGCGTCGCCACCATAGAATAGATGTAATCTCACAGCGTGCCTGCGTCGCCCTGTTCGCGCTTTTGACGACGTAGCTTTTTGCTCCACAATTCATGGCAATCTTGCCAAGTAGGCAACCTGGGTATAGCCATTCTACGGAAAGTAAAATTATGAGATATTAACAAAATGTATAATTTCAAGACATAAAGAAAAAGAAAAGTTAACTTCGGTTGCACCGAAGCTAAAATACGCTAAATTTTTTTTTTTCCTACAAGAACTTAATTTTGATTAGTCGGTCTGTATGGATGCTATATGCTATAGTGGTGCAATCTGAAAAATTTATTCGCATATTTAGCGTTGACTTAGACAATAATTCATTTGAAATGATTCGTGAACATATCTTGATATATTAAAAAATTTTCAATACAAAAATTTTCTTTTGATTGTTCAGTTTGTATTTCAGATATATGGTAGTCATTGTTGTTGTTGTAGCGACTGAAAATTCCTAAAGTAATTTCGAGCAATAGTACCGCGTTGACAGTCCTTGGCCGGATAAAAATTCGGGTCCGTTCCAGTCACTTAGACCCGACTGTTGTGGGAACAGAGATATATATGTAATTAAATATATATATGAATATATACGGTAGTCCGATAGCGGCGCTGTGCAAGATTTCAGTTCAATATCTCATAAACTGAGGGACTAGTACTCGCGTATATACAGACAGATGGACAGATAAACGGACATGGCTAAATCGACTCAACTCGTCACGCTGATCATTTATACATATACTTTATTGGGTCTCTGACGTTCCATTGTGGGTGTAACACATTTCATACTCCGTAATCAAAAAAAACTTACTCATCGGGATTGATGTTTACGAGCCATGGTGATTTGAGCGCCTCCTCTGCGGTGATGCGACGATCTGGATCTAATTCCAGCATGCGATCGAGTAAATCCAAAGCGGGCATTGGCATGAATTCAAAATCTTCGCGTAGGCGTCGCCTATGCTGACGTTTCGGCTTAAATGTATGGAAGAGTGGTAGTTTGATTACATTTGGCCATACCGCCGGCACCGGCGTGCCACACACTTTGGAAATCGTGTCCAATTGCGGCATTTCGGCATTCGCTTGGAAGAGTGGTCGTTTAACGAATAACTCCCCCAATATACAACCACATGACCAAACATCAATCGCTGGTCCATAACGTTCTTCGCCGAGTAGTAGTTCCGGCGGACGATACCACAGTGTTATAACTTTGTTAGTGTATGGACGTTCGCGATCTTCCGCGTTGTATAAGCGAGCCAAACCGAAATCGGCAAGTTTCACTTGACCTCTGCAAAATTATTAATAGATTTTGTTTTATTATAAATGAAATAC